TTAGATGTTTGTGCTAATTTCCTAGCAGATATCAAGTTAAAGGAGAAGGATGGAACATAAAGAACCTTATACAAGATTACGTGTTCCGTGATTTTTACAGTCCCTATGTGAGTGACCTTAGCCACGTCACCATTTGGAAGAAGGAATGGATAATCCACTTTAGCTTGAATGAAACTGAGGAAGGAAGTGCAGCAGACCATGTGGTTTGTTGCTCTCGTGTCAATTATCCATGGCACACGAGAATTCTTGTAATTTTGTTCCCATATGCACATAGGTAAGGAGAGATACCAAAATATTTTGGAATCTATGTGTCTGCAATCATTGATGCGGTGAGGGATTGAATATTTTGGGATTTGAGCAAAGCCAGAAGCTATGCATGCTGCTCTTGAGTGAATGTCACTTGATTGCTACTTCCAACACTTTCCCGTTCCTGTAAGGATGCCAGATTTGCCGAGAAGTTTCCCTTTCCGTGCAACTTATGGCCCGGAGGATATCCATGTATTTTGAAACACTTGTCTACAGAATGCCCTGGCATATGGTAGTGAGTACAGATTGGCTTGTTGGGGTTAGCCTTGAAGTATCTTTCAGTTGAATGTCCAAGGACCTTGCAAAATGTACAATAGTATTTCCTTTGTGCCACTCCAATCTATTTCACTCCATCATTAAGAGTCCATCTCGTGATTAGTGTCATTGAATCAAATGTGGAAATGTATGCTGAAATCTTATTCGCTGAAATCTATGCCGCAAGCGCACGGGTCGAGAACAAGTAGTAAAATGGACCTTTTAAGTCCGAGTCGATCCCACAGAGAGTGTTGATTTCAATTATAAGCTTATTTGTTTCAATGTAACGAAATTTACACACAAATTTAAAAACGTAAGTTTTAAAAGTAAAAAAAAAAATTACAATTTTGTTTTAAAATGTAAAATGACAATTAAAAGGTAAAAAAGTTTTATTTTAAAAAGATGTTGGAATTTATGATTTCACTTAACCTATACTTCATTAATGTCAATTCAATTACGCGCAGGTACAAATTACCAAAATAAGTAGTTAGACCCGATTTTCCTATTTTAAATTAATACCCTTTTTCGAGTGATATTAGCCCTAATTAATTAATTTATACCACATATTTCTATGTTGATACAAAGTTAACTAATTGCATGAATTGTTGTGAAAATAACTCAAAGGGTCACCTAGAGTAAGTGTATATTTCTATATCACCTAAACGCGTAAAAAATATACTAATGCAAATCCAGTGTATCAATCATTTCGGTCTAGTAAATGTAATTATTTTTCAACAATCACATAAACACCTAATTACAACGTATATTGTCGTCACAAAAATGAAGTATTTTAGCATGATGATTAATACACTAATATTTTAATAACATATGCATAACAATAATCATACAAAACATATCATGACATTAATGAAATATTAGGTTAAACTATTACATAAATTCCAACAAAATAACTTAGCTCATCATCATAATATTATAACAAAGGAGATTATTCATATTATACATGCCAAACTTTGGAAAAATAATGGAAGAACACAAAAGTTTGAAGATACAACCCTTTTGTTTAGCTTTGAATTCCTCCAATGTTTTCTCCAAGTTTTCTTGATGATATCTCCTTGTTGCTATGAAATTTTCTTCCCAAAATGAACCAAGAAAAAAAAAAGAAAGAAAAATGGAAAGAAGGAGAAAAATAGAGAGGGGGACGTCCAAGACGGAGAAGGAGAGAGATAATCTTTTTAATTCTTCCACCAACTTGACTTGTATAGATATTATATTATAAAATATCTAGATATTTTGGATTAATTATAATTATAATATAGAATAGATATTTTGTCTCACAAAAATAAAAATCCTAAAATATCTAACAATATTTTGATCTTCATTACATTTAAGCCCTCCATAAATTGCAATCAAAGTCCTTCAACTTTCTGACTTTTGCATTTTAGTCCCCAACTTCACAAATTTGTACATTTAAGTCCATTTTCTCCTCTTTTTGCTCCGTTCTTCTTTATATTAGGATTTTGGCCTACAAAAGTAAAAATTACACAATTATTTATAGAAATTTACTCAATTTTATCAATAATTAATTCCCAAAAAATGCCAAATAAGGGTGTAAAAACACAATTATCAATCTACCTTCTCTTATCTTCTTGTTGGATTAAGGAATACACCTCATTGAGAGTGGAAAAAGGCTTGATTAATAGAATTTGAGCCTTGAGTGCTTTGTATGAATAATTTAAACCCATTAAGAACTTCATTACCCAGTCCCTTTGCTGATTTTCAACAACAGATCTCAGTCCTCCACAAGTACAATTAGGAATCGATTCATAGTTCATTAACTCATCAAGAAGAGTCTTGTATTTTGAAAAATATATACTTGCGGCATCCTGGTTTGGCATTAAAGTAGTAATGGCTTGTTTTACCTTATAAATTCGTGGGGCATTTTGTTGAGCCAGCTGATGCTCTAAGTCCAACCAAAGTTTTCGACCTGTGTCAGCATACGATGTGCAGGATTTAATATCAATAGACATGTTTTGTAACCAAGCAATCACTATATCATTGCACCTCAACCAATATTCCATGAAGGGGCTGTTGGGATCTGCTGGCTCGGATAAACTCCTAGTTTATTTTTTATTCGAAGTGCTCTATTTATAGATCTTGCCCGTTGGTGATATCAAGTATGTGAGTAACCAGAATTGCCCCAGAACTATCATTTCCACCAATGTTGGCTGCAGGGATCATTAGGATTTGTATTAGGATGGTTGTTTGAGAAGTTGGATTGGAAGGAGGTGACGTGGCAAAGTGGAGGAAGGTTGGGTCGACGGCGTCGGTGGTTTTAGCGGGTGAGGAGGAGCTGGTGGTAGAGAATTGCGGTGACTCAAGGGCGGTTCTTTCTCGATGCAGTGTTACGGTGCCGCTGTCATGTGATCATAAGGTGACGTTTCACTGTTTTCCTAATTTGGAATGGGACAAGGAAAATGTTTTCTTTGTAATCTGATTTAAGTTGATGTACGTGTTAAATGTTTTTGGTAGGCATTGGTGTCTTTTTTATAAAGAATACTACTCATATGCTTCGATCAAACAGAGTAGAGTAGGATGAGAATCAAGGCTTACTATGCTAGTTTCTATTGTCGATTTATAATTTATGCTTTTTCCTATAGCCCGATAGACAAGATGAGAAGGAGAGGATAGAAGCTTTGGGAGGAAGGGTTCTAAACTGGAATGGTTGGCGAGTCGAAGGAATCCTTGCCACTTCAAGATCTATAGGTAAAAAAATATTTATTCTATATTTTAACATTCAAGATCATAAAATATAATTCTTTAAAACTTGAAAAAATGGTTGTCTCTAAAGGTATAAAGTGGGTTGGGACATTCTGCCTCGCCGAGTAATTGAGCATAGAAATTATTAAAATAATACTGTTTCGGAACCATTAAAAAATATGGAGCTTACACCTCTAGCAGTCCAATTCCATCCTCGGAATGTTCTGCATTTGTTTAAAATTTAATTTACAGCTTTGCAATTGGCAATGTTGACTGATTAATGTTGATCATTTACATTTATGCATGTACTGCGAGTAGCTCAGTTTCTTGTTTGAACATAATTATTTGTCCGACCCTATCCATTTTCGAGATTCGATTCGATTTCAGGTGATCGTTATCTAAGACCTCTTGTAATCTCCGAGCCGGAGGTTGAGGTCCAAAAACGAACTGAGTTTGATGACTTTCTTATAATAGCAACGGATGGTTTGTGGGATGTGGTGTCAAATGAGTTTGCATGTGAAGTTGTGAGACAAAGTCTTGGCAGGAACAAGAGCCAATTTTCACGGGAAACTGGTGCTACAGAGGCAACGGCAGCACTAGCGGAGCTTGCCATTGCTAAGGGAAGCAGAGACAACAACAGTATCATAGTTGTGCAACTACAATGAATGTTAATATTGATTGTTGTTCGTGTTTACTTCTGTTTTTTTCCTTTCTTCTTTGCCTTTTATAAAGTATGCAAGGCAAGGCAAGGTTACGACTTGTACTTTTTCCTTCACAGTTGTATATTTGTGTAAATAAGAAATAGAAGGTGTGATGCTAACTTTTATCTGAGTTTTGGATCAATTGTAATTTATTGTGCATTGAATATCGTAGCAACAGGCTCTTTTCTTGCACTATTCATATGTTCATATTTCAGGTTTTTGAGTAATGGTAAAGAAAAATTACAGATTTGATGGGTGAAGCACTCAAATCATGTAGCAATTTTTGGAGTCGTCTCTTCATTATCGTGCTACAGCTGTGGTATGCAATTGTAGATACATGGTCCATCGAGTCCAAGTTAATCAAGGTGTACGCCTCATTTTTTGTGCTTATTCTTGGTTAACTCTAGTACTTGGACATAACAACCACTTAAGGAATGCAGGGTACACACTTGATTCAAAAAGAATGGTTACTAGAATTCAGAAAAACAGTAACTACCTGCCATCCACGCCTTCCAGTCCATAAAATGTTATGATGTGTTCGGAACATTGGATAGCACTGAACAATGTTAAAAACAAGACTTCTGCAGAAATTGTATTCATATTGCAAACAATGTTGTTAAGGATACAACAACCAAACACACAAAAAAGGACAATACAGTACAAGGGAAAAAAGAAGACTTAGAAACTCTGTTGAGAAGTGAATCTGTACTTCTCAGTCTCAATCTTCATTCCCTCCATCTCAAGCTATATCTCTACCAGAATAGTGAAGTGGAAAAGAAAGAGGATGAGCACCTCTTTTAAATACTCTCTTCACTCCTTTCTTCCTCCAATCTTCAACCTTATTTAGCCTAATTCCATCTAAATCCCTATTCAGATAAAAAATCATACCATAATCCAAATTCACAGTAAATAAAAAGACAAAGACCTTCTTGACCGTGTCTTGTATTGCTGCACAATTCTTACGATAAAACCTCATAAAGACCGCATGAATTTCTCTTCATAAATAGCTTTGTTTTCATCTTAGACAAGTGAGTAGCTTGATACTGAGACATCTGCAGGAGAAGCCGAGTGGATATACACAAATTCGATGCTTTTTCCAGCTTGCAAAGAGTTTATCCATGCTGGAAAGAAGTAAAAATTACCAGCCTTCGTAAGACCCCATAGAGGACCATAAAGCTTTGTAATAGAGAGCTTCAAGTCCTTCAGGGTTTTTGTAGACTTATTGGTCACTTTCGTTGAGTATCTGTAGTAAGTTTTTCCTTGAAAAACCCATGAAATTCTCTCCTCCTGCTCGAGGACAATTGAGTTGGCTGCAAATCAGCTCTGTACATTAGATATGTCATCCCAAAACGATATTTATTTACGTGCGTTACTCGTAAAAAGAAATTGGAAAGTTCCCTTCACTAAGGACTACAGCCGTAACCCCTTCTTTACAAGTATGAAATACCCAATATCCCTCAATATTAGGCTCCACACAGTCCAATATCCAATAACACTCCTTTCCTTGCAATTAATGGAATTGAAAAAAAGACCAAATTAAAGAAGAAACAGGGTGGTACCTATAGCTGGATTTACAACTGGTTTGGGTGCTGGCTTTGGTTGAGCAGCGACTGGTTTAAGTGAAGGAAGTTCCACTGGATAAACAAAATGCAAAATAGGTTATCAAGAAAAAGCAAAGATGTTGAGAAAACTTCAAAGTTTTAAGTTATGAAGTCATTGAACTTTAAATACCAGGAAGTAGCTGATTGTATCCGCTGTGGCCGCCATGCAGTCTTGCCAATATACCAAGGAAGGGAGCATTGTTATAAGTAGCAGGCTCAGTTTGTTCATAGTTGCCTCTTTGGTCAGCAAAATTGTCATAGGCGTCCGGTCCACCAACAAGTGCACCGGTAAGGAGATTTGGATCACTTGCCTTCCTGCTAAACCAAGTGGAATACCCTCCTCGGCAACTAACAAAAGAAGGGTTTATCTTATACGAGACAATTGAGGATGCTCTGTGGTGAACTTGCTTCGGGTAATTATTTCCATATCCCACCATGTAACTTGTGGCTCTAGGGTTGTCTCCAAGAATGTAGTCCACCTAATGGCATAGAGAAATTGAAGCATGTTCAAGTTAATTCCGTATAACTAGACTCTACAATCTACATAGTCTAACACTGCATTTGAGAGGAAAGATTAATATCTTATACTTTACCTGAGATTTTGCGAATGATAGAAGCTCAGATGGGGTGACAAAACCAGAAGCACACTTCAGGGATTTTCTGGCAGAGGACAGATAATCGGAGTAGACAGTGAGAAGGAATGAAGCACTTGTCACAAATTGCATATTATTCCATCTCTGCCGGAAAATGAGGCCCCCGGGAGTCCTCTGAGCATTACGCGTGCCCTTCCCAAGGCATGAACACATGAAAAATTCGGCCTTTTCCTGGTACTTCTCAAAGACTGGTGCATAACCGGCACCTTTCCCTGCCATCAAGAACTGCAAGACCATATTATGACACACTGTAAATCCATGACAAAAATCAATGGTACTATCGAGGAAATTAAGACAAGTCAACTTACCTTAGCAACCAGGGTCTGGACACCAGCATACTTGACATCCCAACCAAATTCCGTCATGGCCCAGCCAGTTCCACCAAGTGCATCCCCATTCTTCCCTAAGTAGTTCAAGTAGTACTGATTGTTTGTGGCCTTGTGCATCCATGCAGCCGCCCACAACAACTCATCCTGGTAAACCATAATTCACATACACAAAATTAGTGAAGAAATAAGATAGAAAATTACAATTTTCACTATAATAAATGTTTGGTCGTGCTTAGAAGTGCCCTTTTTTTATCACTTTTAAATACAATCGAATGACTTACAGCATATCCACTGACAGATCGGTAATACTTCTGTGCCACTGTGATGCTGCCATCATATTTACCTCTGTATTTGTCTGCAAAATCAAATAGCTGAAACAAAAAAAGGAACTTTTTGTTAGGAGAAGCGTGTCAAATGACTATGAGGCATAAAGTTCAAATTCAAGGGTTTTGACGAACATACAACTAAACAAACAAAATGATCTACGTTTGAGATTCTATAATACAGTACAAGCTTATCTTGTTTACTCGGCCAATTACCTTTTACTTGTTAATTCAAGGCGACATATAGCATTTGACATAGAATGTTTGATAAAGTGAAAAGGAGACAGCAGGTAAAATCGAGAAAGAGAGACGTCTTGAAATATTTGTTCTTTACTTATTATGCTCTAATATCTCTGCTCATTCTTTTAATAATCGGTTTCAAGTGCATGTAAGAGTTTATGGCAGGTTAAGATGCAGTATAAAACCGTCATTTATTAGGGGCTAAAGGTCGTCTCCTAATCATTCTTGTAGATGGCTTCATATTATTAAAATTAAATCTTTAATTGCTAAAATGCACCAATAGGGAATCCTTTTTATTTATGGAAATTTGGTCATAAATGTGGTAACCCACTGCTATATTACACCAACAACAACCTGCCTGACAAAAAGTAACTATGACCATTTCATTAACCTAGAATTCACAACTGCCTGCCAACCTTAGTCCAAATGAGTCGATGACCACTGGCAATTCAGTTACTCTAAAGTTCACACTGGTCAGTTAAAAAGATTGTTTAAGAAACTAAACTACTAACCTGATAAGCATGTTTGAGGAGCTCAGCCGAATAGGCAGGGTTGTAACGGCGAAAGACGATAGAGGCAGCCGCCATTGCCGCAGCGGTCTCACCAGCAAGGTCGGAACCCGGGTGGCTAGGGTCAATCTTGTAAGCTGCCCTTGATGTGGTCATGTCCTCTGGCCTTTGCCAGCAATAGTGGTCCGTGTCTCCATCTCCAACCTATTCGCAAAAATCAGGTGAATACAACAATAGATGTCTGTGAATATGAATGAACCCGATTTCTACTATCAATTGGGGTTGGGCTGGTGGGGTTACCTCTCCATAGAGGACATAAGGTTGAGGGTGGGCTTTGATCAGATAATCAGTGCCCCACTTAATAGCATCAAGGACATTTCCAAGTTCTCCACTAGAACTAATTTGGGTTCCATACTCAATTATGCTCCAAGACATCATGGTTATAGTGAATGCCATTGGCAACCCAAATTTCACATTGTCCCCTGCATCGTAGTATCCTCCCACCAGATCCACCTGCACAATTCGAACCATATTAACAAAGGAAAATAAGCAAAAGTATTATCTGTTATTCAGTTGAGCCGAGGCAGAGAAACATACCCCACTCATTTTGCCATCGTTGAGGCCAGAATTGCCCCTCCATTGGACTCTTTGATTTTTGGGCAAGTAACCAGATCTCTGAGCTTCAAAGAAGAGAATGCTCTTGCTTAGAGCTGCACCATAGTCATGACCACCAGCTAATGCCAAAGGCAGAACTCCAAGCACCAAAAACAGGGGAGCCATTTTCATAAAGAATCCCACAGTTTTATCCATTTAAAATTAAGCAGAAAATGACTATGTAATGTATAGGACTGTGTATTAACAAAATGTAAATGTAGCTTTGGTGTACTGGCTAAAACTTCAAGAATGAATCCCAATGGAGAATGATAGAGAGAGAGAGAGAGAGAGAGAGAGAGTGAGTGAGTGGGGATTGGAAGAAGAAGAAGGGCAGAAGCAAGTATATATGGAGGAGGAAAGGAAGACGGGCAGAAATTAATTGATGCAGTTTTTTATTTATTTTTCTAAAAAGAAAATTATTATACGAGGGGTGATGAAAATGGGGAGAAGCATGTGCATTGCAGTTTTTATTTATAAGAATCAGCCTACAATTTTTGTTTGATATGCCAGCAACTTACTGCTGCAGAATAATCATAGGTGCATGCTTTTCGGAGGGAATGTGTTTTGACATTTGAGTGACACTATTTTAAAAACTAGAGTTCCATTTTAGAAGTTAATCTTGTTGAAAGTAGTTTAGGTCTTTATATTAATTAATACATTCCTATAAGGACTTCTATATATTAGATTTTTAAGACTTGTATTCGCTCAAATTGGGCTAGGACTTCGTGACTCAATGTCAAAGTTCATTTGAAAAGGCATTCGCAGAAGAAATACAAGAGATGCCATGCGCCGACAATTTAAGGGTAATGGAAGTAAGGGTCAATTTCATGAAGAATGTGCAATTCAACAATTTATGTTTCATATAACGATTGAGGGGGTTTTGTTATGTAAACAATTGTAAATAACGCAATCAATAATAATGAAAATTAAATTAACGAAAACGATCAAAAGACTAACTTTGGTCTAAGTCCACATCCACCGTCGAAAATCCACAATTGATCACAGATACAAAGATAATTCAATTCATATTTCGAATATTCATCGTTGGAATTGATTTATATTTCTCCTTAATTTTAGTTAATTAGAAACCAGCGTTCTACTTAACCCTAATTATTAAATAACCTCAAACCAGCGCTCAAGATTCAATTTAATAACAGTTTTACACAATAGAGAAATCGATGAACTAGATAACACAAACACCAGCGGTTGCATTCAATCTATTTAAACATTCTTCTTAAGATTCAATAACCTCTATCACAGA